CATAGAATTACCTGCAGTAGCAAGGATTCCTCCTTTCCATAGAGGCGATACATCTCGATGGTGTGATTAGCATCAAAATTATGCCAAAACACTGAAGAATATTGAGCTTTCAGGCATAAAGTTCAGAACCTCATTGATAACGACACGATAAGTGTTAGAAAGAAAGAGGTTGATGACAACGAAAAACCAAAAACTCTAGATGCCTCAACAAACAGTTCTGATGTCGACTCGATTAACTCAAAGGAATCACAAACTGCGCCCAAACCTGAAGAATATTCACAATGGCCTTGGAGCACAATAAGAAATCAACTGGAAAGTCCAGTAGGTGAAGAACAAATGAGCATAACCTCACCCAAGGATACTCAAGATCAAAGTAATGAGGATAGCCTTAGCTCCAAGCCCATTACCCAAGAAAGGGCAAGAGAAAGAATCATCACATGTGGAATTCCACTTCAAGATACAATCCCAAAAGTGGCAAAAGAAGTCCCCATCATCGAAAATCAAACTAGGGCAGATGATCACTTCAACCTGTACTTCCAAATTAACACAATAAATGATTCACACATGTGTGATAGTAAATCAAACTCGCAAAAGAAAAATGGAATTGAGCATAAGCTCAACCAAGACTCTGAAGCTAATGGTCTCCAAGTTCACAATGGTGAAGAATGCCTTGGTTATAGAATTATTACTCTTAAGGAAATAGAGGAGCAAATTCTTCAAGAAAACTTATTTCCTCAAAAACCAAAGGAAGCTGGTCTTTTAGAACTCTTAACAGACCCACCTGAGCCATCTTCACCAGACTCCCTCGCCAACCCACCTATATTGGGTGAGGAGCCAAGCTTAGAAGATTAATCGAGTCACCCTTTGAGATGAACCCAATTATAGATGATGGAGAAACAAAGAGCTTATATTTGACTATTCCAAAAGATTTTACACCTCCACTAATGTTGAAAGACCTCGAACCTTTAGAACTTATAAAGGGGTCACCCGGGCCACCTTCACAAGACTTTGTGGATGATTCGCCCATCTGGGACAAAGAACAAATGTTAAAGGCCGAATTGGTCATCTCCTAAAGAGGAAGGATTTCCAGAACTTAAGTAGGGCAGAAGCACAACTCCGATAACCGGGGTACCCCCATATCAAGAAAGTTCATCTCATGAAGAACAAGTTACTAACAGAACCGAAATCCTTACAGGGGCAATCCCATCAAGCTACTCAATAGGGACAGTCTCCTCTCATGAAGAGAGCACAACAAGGGTAGTTAATAAGATTGAGCCATTATCGGTTAACTCCCAACATACCATAAGGCCATCTAAAATAACTCATTCACTCTTCTTGTGCCAAAGTCTCACCTGAACTCAAATACTGATAGGAGCTTACTACGGAATTAGCTTCTGAAAAGAAATACAAAATTTGGAATGAAAGAGAATTGAAAAGGAGTTCGATGATCACTCACCCCTTGCAGAAAGCCAAATGGGGCATTCATGCCTCAAACTAAAAAAGACATTAATGCCTAATGAGTACAACATTATCTCATTAAGAAAAAAACCTAATGATGTTGTCTGTCCACATAAAAGATTGAGGGATTAGGAAAGTAATAATGATTCTTAGTCCCAAAATCAAGGTTCAAGTGGGGCAATTCAATGGATAAATCTAAGGGGAACTCGACGACCATTGTCAACGAGATATTAGATGCCAACCTAGGGTAAGGGAAATCAAAGGATAACTGATATTAGAACCTCCTTACTACCTAGATAAGGGAAAGATGATCAAATTCTTACATAGCCTTGAAGAAAAATGCCAAAAAAAAAAAAAATTCTTCTCCTTCTCCTTCGTCATCTTCTTCAAAAGTAAAGAAAACGTTCCGCTGGGATGAAGATCTGAAAAGGACCCCAAGCTTTGGAAAAAAGGCAACGGGGCCAAACACCCGAAGGAACCCCGGGTGATGAAAAATAAATTAAAAAAAAGAAATCCTTCGGGCTTAAATTCCGAAAGGAACCCAAAATGTTGAAAAAAAAGCTATCGGGCTGAACACCCGAAAGGTATCCTGGGGTGATGAAAATGAAGAAGTTCTCTCCTTTCCTTATATTCTCCAAAGTCTTAAACATCTTCTCTTCCTTCTTCCTGAGTCAGAATGGTGTCAAAGTAAAAATCAATGACCATTAGCTTGATGGAACATTGTTAATAGCCTCGATCATCTGGATTTTGAAAGGTGAATGGCGTAGGAACAAAATTAGAAATCCAAAGAGATTATGAACACCTAGGGGTAGTATCATGTATTTTCAAGACTATGTTTTGCTCGCAAACTCTACAGAACTCTCTTTTGAATTGAAATACAAGAGCTAATATTGGAAGATAAAGGAACGCTCGATGATTCCTCATCCCGAAGATTCCAGCAAGGACCCGATACACTCATATAGGGTCCATCAAAGGGGTCGCAAGTGGATAAACTGTAAGTCTCACATTTTTTAAAAAAAATAAAAAAAAAAAATTTTAGTTCAAATCTTTTCTTTAAAAAAATATTCCATGGTTGTATGAGTATAACTGCTAACTACCCTATCCATTGCTGCATCATGTTAGACTGCTTAGAGGGTTATATGGTTGTTGAAGCTAAAATTGCTAACTAAAAATTTGTTTTTCAAAATATCATTATCTTTTCGAAATGATTCACTATATATCTTGTGTTATCGAAAAATTTAATTTTTATGTTAAAATCATGACCTGCCCAAATACTGGGTTCTATTTCAAAACTCTCCCTGTTTTCAAAATTTTTAAAATTTCTTTTGAAACGAATGAGCTTGGACACCGGTATATGACGATTATTGCGTTGTCGCCTCATCTCTCTTCAGAATTGATCAGGAAAACATTTTCCTAAAACAAGTAAAACCTATAGAAGACCTTAGGAAACCCTAAGGAAATCAAAAAAATTGCCAAGTTTAAGAATTTGAAATTGTGAAAACCCATAAAGTT